AAAAGCCCAACATTTCAGCTTTGAAGACTTCAAGAGAAGCCAAATAAAAAAAAAAAAATTTTTAAATTAGACATGCATCAAATAATGTGTAATGATTCAGGGTTGGGGCCTCTACTAAAAACAGATTTTAAAATGCCTAAAATTAAGAGGGGAGGTAATCTATTTGACATTGATTATATATGCAGCCTGCATTAGAAAATATAAAAAAAAAAAAAAATCAATTCTGATGGAGGAAGATTTCTCATAAATTGCTGGATTTTATTAATAAGTTAAGAATAATAAAGAAATCTGTGTAAAAATTCCAGTCTTCTCCCAGTAAGAATGCAAAAGCAATTACAGAATATTTAAATTGTAAAATTTACTAAGAACCCCCCCCCTTTTTTTTCATTACAAGTGGATGGGAAATAGTTACTTATATATTGGGTAAAAGTGTACAATATCAGAGATACAGCATATGTAAATATAAAAGTAGATAGTAACCCTTCAGGCCATCAGAAGATTGCATTCAAGCATGAAACAGATTGTCACCATTTGTGTTGACCTCAGTGTCCACACACACATAATTTATTAAAAATAATTAAGAACAAAAAAACTGGTTTATATTTTACATAATGTCTTTTCAAATGCCTTATTTGAAGAAAAATATATTCAGTAATTAAGGTTTTAATCTTTAATAAATTACTTTTATTCAGTTACAAAAAAAAAGTTATGCTTTTCTGTTCCCAAGTTGTTTTGGCACTCACTCAAGGAACTTAATTTAGAACCAACTTCAAATTTTGCAGATACATCGCTTGTCAGGGTCATCAGCGAAAATTAAAGTCGGTCCAAAGATAAGTCTTTTCAATTTTCCTTATCATTGCTGTTTCTAATATTGAGTACCCTCTGTAGAAAGATCAGCTGGCTTTGAATTTAAGTAATATATGCTTTTTTTTTTTAGCATCATTGATTTCTGTCATTACATACACACACACTATATATATATATATTTTATGAAATGGACAAAGTCCAACAATTATTTTAAGAAATTTTTATGTTTATACATTCTTTTTATATAGATACAAATATTTAAGTAAATGTTTTGTTTATAATAAACAGTATTAATAACATTTACCAGCCTGAATGTTTGAGAAATTTTCATCCTCCAACAGGAATCGAACCTGTATCCTATACAGAACCATTATTTAACCTTACATGCTCTTAACCAATCAAGTTAAATGACGGTTCCATATAGGATACAGGTTCGCTTCCTCTCAGAGGACGAATATTTTCTATGAAAATTTCTCGGACATTCAGGCCAGTAAATGTTATAAATACTGTTTATTATAAAACAGAGCATTTACTTAAATATTTGTATCTATATAAAAAGAATGTATAAACATAAAAATGTCTTAAAATAAATAAATATATATATATATTTCCTCATTGGTATTATGACACTGTGTTTCATGCACAACACAATGACTGACTGTCATATAATTACAACTTAGACCATATTTATAATTACATTCATAAGTTGTTAGCATTGACTGATTATTAATTAATAGCTATTATACTACATCAGGCATTATTTTATTAATACCATTACTCAATGTCCGCTGTCATGTGTGTAATGCATGTTTAATGTTACACTGAGAAAAAAATTTATTTGCAGTGTATCTCATCTACACTACATGAGGAGATCAAAAGGGCCAAATTAATCTTAATCTTTATACCACTATTAAGGATAACAACTTAGAACATGTTTATAATTACTTTGTTGTTAGCACTGATAAGGCCCCCAATACTCACCTGGCATAGGCCGCCGAGCTAAGCCGCTTGTTAGGCCTACAACAAAACGTGAAATAAAGAGAAGGATATCAGAGAAAACAAGAGGAAAATTTAAAAAAGCGGTCATGTCAAAAATCACATTGAATGGGTGGGGTATGATTAAATGCAAACAAATGTGAAATATTTAATATAAAAATAAAACAAGGATGCAACCAAATACAGTAGTTATTCAAGAAAGGTTTATAAAATATTATGTGATGAGTTCGTATTTACATCATGGAATCGCTATACGAAACTACTTCAAAGGGAAGTAATTACAAACATTGTTAAAGTAATTATCTCCCTTGTATCGCAACCTGTTGTGAAGAGAAAGAAGTTTTAAAAAAATATTTTTACATTTGAAATAATGAAAATATGAAAGAGAAAATAAAAAATGTACTTATTTATTTATATAAATTTTCTGTCGTAATTAAAATAATAAGATAGTTGAAGAGAAACTAAAATGTGCTTGTTTAAATAAAATTTCTATAATAATTAAGAGGTAAATATCCATCACAACGTTAAGGGAAGAAAATGCAAAAACCCTCAGTCTAGATTGGGGTGAATATATTGCGCCCAAAGCAATATATATATATATATATATATATATATATATATATATATATATATAAAAAAGAAATATAGTCTTAAGGTGTGCTATATTTATGGGATAAAGTGCTCAATATCAGAGATAGAGCGTGGTAAATATAAAAGTGAACATGAAGTCAACATAGGGACAGTCTGTTTCATGCTATCAGGTGGCCTGACAATTGCATATAGCATGAAACAGACTGTCGCCTCTAAGTGTTGACTTCTATGTTCACTTTTATATATATATATATATATATTAAAAATGTTAAAAATCAGGAATTTAAAATCTTCAGGCTTCCCATCAGTGTATATTAATACCAATATTTGCATTTATATCTCCCCACTACATATATAGTGATTTACTAAATGTAGCTTAGTTATGGCACAAGGCCAAAAGTATGGAACACCCAGTGAAGATTGAACTCACTACTCATTTGTAATTGTTATAGTGAGATAAGCTTGCAAACCATAACACCACATTGAAGCACTCCTCCCCACTACATGCATACATACACACATATATGTATTAAGAAATGGACAAAGTTTGACAATTTATTTATTAAAGACATTTTTTTTATGTTTAACGTTCTTTTTTATAGATACAAGTATTTAAGTAAATGCTCTGTTTATAATAAACAGTATTAAATAACATTTACCGGCCTGAATGTCCGAGAAATTTTCATAGAAAATATTTGTCCTTTGACAGGATTGAACCTGCATCCTATACGGAACCGTCATTTACGCTGACGTGCCTTACCGATCGGCCACAAAGGAGCGTTCGGTAGACAAGTTCGAATATACTGCTTATAAACTTCAATCTTCCATATATGTATGTATGTAAATTTTTTTCAGATAGTGTGTATAGGTAAAGGAAAAAAAAATTGATAAAAAGATAAGAGGAAAAACTATTCTTAGCCAACATGTTTTGTCCTCTAAGGGACTTTGTTAAGGACTTTATTTTTTTTTTCCTTTATAAAGTACCTTAACAGGCAAAACGTGCCAGCTAAGAATAGTTTTTTCCCATTATTTTTTTTATATATAATTCCATCAATAAGAACATTACTTTAGTCAAAGTTCCTTAGATGAAAAAAAAAGAAAAAATATTACACAGAATTTTTCCACTTTGTCATATACATATATAATTATATTATCAATACCAAAGTTTTGTTTGTGGATTTTGTTATTGATACTATTATATTTAAGCACTGTCAACTTTGTCCTTGAACCCTCAGTTTATTTTCTATTTTAAGCTTTACTCTTTTATTCTCTCTCTCTTTTTTATATATATATATATATATATATATATATATATATATATATATATATACACACACACACTATAGCTGGCCAGTCATATTCGAGGATACCTGTCTGCTAGGGCGGCTAGCCAATCCAGACATTGCAGACGCTTGCCCAAGTGCATTTGTGTTTATTCAACACTCACAAAGCCCACCTGTGGTTTATACTGCAACTATGCTGAGCAGACCTTAGTTACAGTTTCTGAGAAAGAGTGTCTTATCTAGTGTGATCAGTAATTTGAACAAGGCCACCACACTCAAGCCCTCGGCCACAATGACTTGTGACTTTGTGCTAGCACAGCTTTCGACTGCCCCCAAGGGTTTCGTCTACCCAATTTTATTCACTTGGGTCAACCTGTGGTATGGTTTTCAGGCACTTTCCAAAGGTGCCTCATGCTGGAATCAACTCCTCCAGTTTGATAACATCAGGAAGTCTCCTTTCTGACAAATCGACCCTGGTGAGATTTGAACCCAGGTCTCATGGACAGAATGCGAATGTTCTAACCACTTGGTCACATGGTGCATATATATATATATATATATATATATATATATATATATATATATATATATATATAAAAGGCTCAAACACTAATATTCCATGGTTATAATTTATTACATTGGAATTGTAATCATGATCCAATTCATCAGACCTACAAATTAAAAAAGAAATCGGAAAATATATCTCCGGGTATAAAAAACAAAATTTGCGTGGGAGTGGGAAACAAGTGTGAGAGGGAAATGTATGAAAGCTATAGAGAGAGGGTGTAACAGAAGAAAGAAGAACAGGAAAGCCTAAAGGTGAAGATTATAATTTAACAGAGAGAAATTTTAAAGAAAGGAGTTATGGGCTTCGTTGAATCAGATCAACAACAGGAATAAAGACAAAGACCTCCTTAACAATATCAACTGTAAATAAAATAATCACATTTGAAAGTAATTATTTTATTTAGAATTTTCATTAAACTAAGGATAATGATTTAGCACCAGTCAGAACAGATTTGGAGAAATATTAAACTACAAAATGGAGTACAAAAGGAAGAGAGAAGATGAAATTTATTCTAAACTATGTAGAAAGTAACAATAAATGCTTGACTTCTGTCTATGCCCACATACAGTAAATATGTTGATTTGGGGGGGGGGATAAAAAAAAGAGTTTGGAAAAAAAAATAAATAAATAAAAGAATAAAACTATGAAAAGCAGAAAATTTTTTTTTTGTCTTTAAAACTAGCAAGAACAATGTGAATATATAAATTGGGATATAACCTTTGCTTAGATGACTCAGACTGACGTAATTCTGATGA